AAAAAAAAAAAAAAAAAAAAAAAAAGCCAGACCTAACAAACTTGTCCTGTGGGTGGTTGTCTGTGGTCAGATGTTTGAGGGGGGGCCTGCATATAAATACCAACTCCCTGGAGATATAGCAAGGGATTTTGCGATGGAAGACCTGCGGCCTCCTTTTAAAGCGAGGACGTATCCGGACGGACTGAAAAAGTGAGTGGCCGTTGTGAATGGAGTCGATCGAAACCAGTCCATATATGGGCCTTGCCGCAGAGCGCACCCAATTGAAAAATAAAACGAAGTGTATCTCCCTTTAGAAAGTGGAAGGTTTCTTCTGTTTACTGTTTTTTTTTTCTTCTTTTTGTTTTATCATTAGATTCATTACTCCAATCCCGGAGACCAACGAAATAGGACCAGAGTCCTATTGCCTTATACCATGCCTAATATGGTCAGAAGGCAGGCCGGATTTGAGCGCGCTAATGTTTTCAAAACAAAAAAATTGGACCATTTCTCGATTTATGCGTGTCATCCTCGCGCAGGGGCCATTTGCTAATTTACCCTTCTCAGCATTGTTCTGATGTTAACGAATGTCCCGAAGGACTTCCGGATTCATCCATTACTATAATGCTAACTAAACGTATTTCACCACCCTGTGCCCAGGTGCGCTCGTTTTTTTTTTTTTTTTTTTGGTCGTTTTGTGTGCTGTGGGGCGAGGCCCTGTTCGTTGTCTGTTTGCCAATCAATTTCTACTTGTCATTTGACTTTGCTTCGCTTACCGGTCACTCTCAAAGGGCCTCACTCCATTACTCAGAACATGCACAAAAGACAAAAATCATGGTGGGGTATTTTTCCATGCTCTATCGGAAGTTCGATTTGCATTTGACTTCACTCTCAAAGGCTTTCTAGNATGTCTGTTCTCATAGGGCCTCGCTCCATTACTGACAACATGCACAAAAGACAAAAATCATGGTGGGGTATTTTTCCATGCTCTATCGGAAGTTCCATTTGCATTTTGCACATTTGGTGAGCAGTGGACTGAGGCCAATTACCATGCGAACGATCAAGAACGACTTTGGTATGCTCAACTTTGTTGCCCATCGCATTTCTTGTCCTCTATTCTCAGGTTAACTTGGGTGTCGACTTGTCATGAACAGAAGACGGAAGACCCCCTCCTCTCTCTCCTTGGTGTAACTGATGGGTGGGAGAGAGCTTAGTAATGAGATCGTGCGGTGAAGAAGGAGTTTCGTTTGCTCAACTTTGATGATCATCACCTTCCCTGTCTTCCATTCTAGGAAAGGCTGTCGACTTGTCAGGAATAGTAGATTCCCTCCTTTCTCGTTGGTTTTGACTGTCGAGCGGGCTTGAGCTCTACCTAACGCAAGCCATTGTGTGTCTGAAGGGTAGCACAATCGTGTGTCTGAAAGAAATGGGGAAGGGGGGGGGGGGGGGGGGCGGCGAGGAGGAAGGGAAGGGAAAGAGGAGTGTTCTTCATGCCTTGTGAATGCTATTTCAGTTTGAGGCTTTGAGCATTGGTCAAGCTGCGGCAATGGGATTCGGAACGAGGATCGAGGCGCTCACAGAATGTGCTGCCTGCGGAGCGGTCACAGCGCTGTTTTCTGTGGAGAGGTCACAGCGCTGTTTTCTTCTGCATGCTGAACTTGAGTGTTGCCGGATTGTGCAGGTTGCTATCTGAGTGCTGGAGCAAGGATCCGCGGAGCAGGCCAAGCTTTGTGGAGATCGTGGAACGACTCGAGAAGATGGAGTCTAGCATTCCCAAAATAGCTTCGGATATGCCTAGATGTCAGTGCACGATCATGTGATTCATAAGAGGTAAGCTGGTTTGCGGTGATGTGGCTTGCAAAGCTATGCCACAAGTTCTCTCTCTTCAGTCGCACCAGGGCCAGGATATGGAAGACAAATGGCACTGTGCCCAGCCCGCATGGTTGAAGCACCAAGTAATTAATGCCAGGGAAGGATAGAGGACTGGGTACGATTATGGCTGCCCACGCTGCTGAACAGAAGATGAGGCAGGTTACCTGTGCGGAAATGGAAACGGGCATTAGTGCGGATATCGGAAATGCTCGGTGTGCAGTCGATGGCTGCCAGGCCCGGGTGTACTGGTGGATTAAGAAGGCTGCAAGGAAAGCGTGTGTGCAGGCGTGGAGTGGATATTTGGCGGCTTGTCCGGCCGTAATGACAAGAGGGGCGGTTGTAAATCAAATCGGAGCAGCATAGAGTGCGGAGATTGTGAAGGAGATTTCTTGCAGAAATGAGACGGAGATGCCAGATAGAGGACAACAGAAGTAGGACCTCGCTGACCGACATGGGGACTTGGGAAGTATGTAAAACGGTCACGATAAGCACAGCTTTTCCTTTTGCGATTGGGGACTTGGGAAGTATGTAAAACCGTCACGATAAGCACAGCTTTTCCTTTTGCGATTGTATGGACTTTTGCAGAGACAGGAGACACAAGGACTGCTAGGGAGAGTGTCTTAGGACAACAGGGGAAGGAGATCTCTGACCGACTGGGAAAAACGTAAAAAGGCCGCGATAAGCACAGCAGCTTGCTTTTTGGTATTGTATCGACTTTTGTAAAAACAGAAGACGCCAGGACTTGTATGGAGAGCTGATACTGGCATTTTCACGGCTATGCTCAAGGTTGTGCGCTTGTTCTACTTTCAGGTCACAGATGAGGCAGCCAGATTGACTATTATTTTGAGAAGAGGGAGCAAGAACACTGGCAGCTGCATTATTTCCTTCCGGGAAAGAGATGTTTCGCATTACTCCTAGGAGGGATACCAAGCCCCGTCAGTCCAAGTAAGTGCTGCTGATGACTGGACGGACGTCCTCGGAGCAAATTTGACTCCATAGAATGCAACCCTTTGGGCTCTCTCTCTCTCTCTCTCTCTCTCTCTCTCTCTCTCTCTCTCTCTCTCTCTCTCTCTCTCTCTCTGTGGGTGTGGGTGTGTGTTTGTGTGCGTGTGTATTTGTTTCACGACTACTTACGGGTAATGCAGGAGGGAGATTGTTAGGAGGTAGTGCGCTTTGCTAGATTCCTGCGGATTGCTGAGAAGAGTATATTTGTGAATAGCATCATTTGTTTATTGCTGATGTTAGAGAAGGCATGTGGACTAAAAGGGCATTCAAAGATCTTGTCAGTCCTAAAAGAGAGTTGAGAGGTTGCACTCACTTTTTTCATATTGTGTCCCCTTGAAACTGGGAATCCATCCCAGGGTTCTTGGTTGGGAGTGTCAGATATCAAGGCTGCTTCGTGGCAGCACCACCCACCAGGAATGTGGAATCCGAAGTAGCAGGCGATCTGAGAGAGGGGTCTTACCGGAGCAGGTTCAGAATATATGGGGGCAAGGTTGGCAGTTGGTCAATTTTAGGGCCATGGAATCTTAGCAGGCTAGTAGGAGTGCACTCATGGGTAGGCAGGCCAGGTACATCTGTATCGTATCACGTTTTCAACCATCGCTGGCTGATATTGTTAGACGCTTTTGATATGCTTCGTAATGATCGGACACCATCAATGGCTGAGGATTTTTTGAACTGCTTTTGATATGCTATTATGCTCCGTAAGAGATGGGACGATCAGTCTGCCTGTCTATCCTCTGCGGGTCTTCACAGCCCAGGCAGGAAAGAGACTCTTGCTCTTGACCCGTCCTGCATTACTATACTAGCCTGCCGCCAGATGGCCCTCTGCTCCGTACACAGATGATACTTTATTGTGACACTGATTGTTAGTGTCTGCTCCCCAGTCCCTAGAGCTTGCAGCTATACATTTTGTCCCCTGCCATAACTGGAAATATGTGGCCAAACACACTTGCCTAGTATTCCGGTGACCAGTATGTGAGGAGTGGGTACGACTGGATTTCGAACCGTTGCCTAGTATATTATGCAGTAAAGTGTACCTCTCTCTCTCTCTCTCTCTCTCTCTCTCTCTCTCTCTCTCTCTCTCTCTCTCTCTCTCTCTCTCTCACACACACACACACACACACACACNTCTCTCTCTCTCTCTCTCTCTCTCTCTCTCTCTCTCTCACACACACACACACACACACACACACACATGCAGTGGGAAGGCGCCTGGCGCCCAGTCACGCGCATGACCAGCTTTGCACTCTTCTTTTCGTCCTGTGGCCTTGGCGCCCAGTCACGCGCATGACCAGCTTTGCACTCTTCTTTTCGTCCTGTGGCCTTTGGGATGGATCTGGTTGTGATCCAGAGGGCTTTGGGATGGTTTTGGTCTTCAGTGATATGCACACTCATCATGAGTCAGATTGTGATCCGGAGGCCATAGTGTCGATTGAAGCCGGTGTTTGGATTGCGTATACTATCGCACCTGAATCCCTGCAGATATGAGAGAGAGAGAGAGAGAGAGAGAGAGAGAGATTCTACATGCACGGCAAGAGAGAGAGAGAGAGAGAGAGAGAGAGAGAGAGAGAGAGAGAGAGATTCTACATGCAGTTATACCTGCCGTGGTTGGATAAGGATGTCCATGCACGGCTTACGTTTGCACACCCACCCACCTCCCCTGTTATGTATCCAGGGGGGAACATTTTTGATCATGTGTAATGATTGGCCGACTGCAGAATCGTCTTATTTCAGAATTGTATGTGAGTGAGGGACATTGGGAGTGGGTTCAGGGCATTACATGAGGGAGTTGAGCACTTTTACAAAGTCTTGGTTCCACTGAGCACCAGTGTAGGGAAGGAATGTGCTTAATGCTTCCGAGCGAGTAGATAAGTCAACAAGAGCACATAACAAGATGCTGTCCATATAGATAGCACCAGTGTAATCCCTGGGTGTCAATTGCAATCGCTTGATGGCTCATGGAATCATATACGAGTACAGCGAAGTAGATGGGAGCATTGTTGTAGGCCTAACCTCGAGATGTGTGTGTGTGTGTGTGTGTGTGTGTGTGTGTGAGGGAGAGAGAGAGAGAGAGAGAGAGAGAGAGAGAGAGAGAAGCTGCGAACAAGATGGGAGTGCTATGTATGGAGCGCAAGACCTGATGGCAAGGCATGCACGCCACGTCCAAGTACTAGTATTGATATATACAAGTTGTCCTTGTGGCACAAGTCTAATCACTGGGGGTCAGTCGCACACGTGATTCTGGAGGATTGGAGTGATGAAATGGATCTGGAAATAAAATGGAGATGTTGCTATTGGAAGTGACTGTCTGTTAGTTTACAGGTTCAGGTGTAGTGAAGAAGCCTATAAAGTCAGGCAGCAGGCTTTGCATGGCCTGTGGAGCTCGGTTGCAGCTTTCTTATTTTGTTATACTGTCCGTTTTACTACGAGCTTCAGTTGTTTGTTGAGAAGGGCGCTTCCTGGCATCCTTGATGTTGCGAAATTGTGGCAGCCAGCTTGTGGCAAATGGGCAGGGAAGATGTTTGCGTGCTCGGGACGGAGATATCCAGATAAGAGGGCACTGAAGGCGAAGGACTGCATCATCGGCGATGGGAAATGTGTGTGTCATGCAGCTTGGGGCAGATACGCTGGGAAGAGCTCAGGTCAAAGATATATCTGAATGACAGGGCACAGAAAGGCGAGGGAATGCACAGATGAAGAGAAGCATGCAACTGCGGCACAGGGGTGGAAGTGGTGAAAGCAATACGTCTTGACGGTATTTGTGGGATTTGTATTAGGACGACGATGAGAAGGAGAGCAGCAGACAACCTGTGAGGGAAAGCGGCTTTTCTGGTTCATATCGAGAGTGCAGGGTGGAGCCTGAAGGGTTTGCGATGAATGGTATAGAAACACATAACTGCTGATAAACAGGTTAAAGAGGCTACTGTCTTCCCCTGACCACAATGCACCCTCATTTTGACTGTACCGGGCCGAAACACACCTTGTATATGTTCATTTTCAGGATGCGGTTTGTTCGGGGGAAGACAGTAGTCGCTACGGCGCTTCGACAAAAGGGTGGGGCCTCACCAGAGGTGGGAGACGAGAGGAACGAGTGAGAGACAAGAGCACAGTTTCGGGGAGGGGAGACTTGTCATGCTGTCCATCACAAAGTACAGGCCATAGATCGCTCTCCTTCCCAAAGCGCTCCACGAACAACGCTCAGGTGATCAGTGGCATCGGGCACGGCGTATCAGCTGCAACTTATCGTGGGATGGGTTCGGTGACGGATTGACCGACACACTCTGCGGCACCGGCCTGAGCAATAGTTACTTTCAGTTTGCGACAACTGCCAAGCAGCTGTGCAGTACTGAAGTGAAACTACTCAAAATCGAACCAGCCACGCCTGTGAAAATGCCGGTGGGGCGTTATGGTTATGCGAAGGGCTATTAGCAACCCCCTTCGGGTAAGCGTAAGGGGGTGGGGAACCCCACTTACAGGTCGCGGAAAGAGAAATTGTTGTGATTTTTATGGATGGGATTTCCACAGGTAATATTGACAACACCCCCTTCCCCCCCCAGCGCGTCTCCTCCCTTTCTCCCCCTGGTAAGACAGGGAAGGAAGTGGTCGTGCCATGGTCATCGCCATGGCTGCATGGGAAATGCAGAACACAGTGACCGGGCTGTTCTCGCACAGAATGGGTTGGTGAAGGCCAGTTTATAATGCTGCTCCGCTACCGAGAGAGAGAGAGAGAGAGAGAGAGAGAGAGAGAGAGAGAGAGACTGCTTCTGTCATCCCAGCAACTTAGTCGACAGGGAAAGAATGGTGTCAAGTGGCAGCAGCATAACAGGAATGGCAGACGACCTGAGGATTCCGAGCCCCCTCTTTTGGCGGAAAAGACTGGACTGAAAGACGAGGCCGCGGCTGTGCGACTGCCACGAAGTTCACTTTAACATGTGCAGAGCAGCGTTCATGACATCTGTGACGCAGGAGTGAAGGTGCTGTTGATTCTTGTCCGTCCTTTCGTTGACCATTACGTAACATGGTTTGCACTTGATATTGCCCTGGGAGGACACAACGAGCGTCCAGCCTTATTGTTGTTTGTATCATTCACCGGCTGTGTGACACCGATGAATGTGTTTGCTCCCAGAGATGTGTGGATCGACTGACCCTCGTACCGTGTGAGGGTTTGGGAATAGTCGTCTGGTCGGTTTTCTCCCAGAGATTTGTGGATGCATGTTGAGTTCGGTGGGATGGCGTTTCGCCTGCAGACCCCAGAAATAGAGAGACTGTCGGAAACAACGAAGGCTTGCGGTTTCAACGAGTCTGTAATTGGCATGAAGGCGGCGGCGAGGCAGGTCATGCTCGAATTTCCTGATTATGAAATGGTGGTGCTTTCGACACACAATAATATCCATACTAACCCGGGTACGTACCAGTGTAGTTAGGTTGTTGGACTTTGATTAGTGATGTGACGGTGAACGAAAAGTCCCCCTACGCTTGTTCTGGTCACCGGTACTTGTGTTAGTTTACAAAGGAATTTGCCCCTGAATACTATTTTGAAGTATTTTCTATAACTTCTGTACGTAGTGAAAAATTTCCGTTCCATTTCGTTTCAGACTGTTTGTTGTATGTAGTTTTTCTCCGTACTCCAGTTTTTTCTGCGCACTAGTTTTTCCCTCTAAATATGTAGAGAGGACGGATGGGACTGACTTCCTGTACTTAGTGAAAAGATCCATTTCTTTTCAGAATGTTTGTTGTACTTGTGTTTTTTTTTTAATAAGCAGTTGAGTTATGGAGATGGAGTTTTTTGCTGAATAGGTAGTATGGAAAAATGTACACTGGGACTTCGGAGGGAGATCGTAGATGGCATGTCAGGTGGAGGTTCTATTTGAGATTGCCCATCCCCATTCATGGAGTTTGCCCCAGTTCGTCTCGGGGGGGGGCAGGAGGGAGGTGATATCGTGTGGACAAAGAAGAGAGATGGTCAATGATGCTGTGGAAGAGAGAGACCAGCGTGAAAAGTTTTTTTTTTTTTTTTTTTTTCCGGTTCAAGTATATTTTCAGTTTGCAGCGGCTGCAGCAGGGGCTTCCCTCATTTTGCAGTGGAAAAGCCGTACTGTAAGCCTTTCAATTCGTCGACCAGTGGGAAGTTTAATTAAATAATAAAATAGACTTAAGTTACTATTAATAGTGCAATTTGGTTTTGTCCCTTTGTAGAAGGGGAAGCCATCGTAGAAGACTCTGTTCCTTGGTCGTAGAAAAGAAAAGGAAGGGGGGAAAAAAAAACATTCGGCAAAGCATTCTTTAAAAAAATTCTTTTTTTTGGCAATAGATAGCACAAGGCGCTCACAGATTCTGGTCTTACCCCTTCTTAGTACTTCAGATTGGCGAGCATGTTCAATATCTTTGCGGCAGCAGAATGCTGCAATTTTCTGTCATCTGCTCCAGTGTGCTTTGTCTGGCTGGCATCTGGTACCTGCCGCCGTTTATGCGGGCGAAGAAGAAAGGTACATTGCTGTTTTGCTTATTTACATATCTCCAATATCTGGTGGAAATTCGCAGGAAAAAAAAAAAAAAAAAGAGCCTCAAGAGAGTGACACCGGCGAAGTTCTGTGGTTAAGAAGCATTGGGGGGTGGGAAAAGGGGGTCTGGAGACGCGGGGAGGAATCCAGTGAAGTTGTGTGATCGGAGCATGGAGGGCAAACGAGCGCTGCGGCTAGGAGGAAGCAGAGGGTGAGAGGTGGGGACCACATGGGAGGTACATGTATTGAAAAGAAAGCGGACGGTTTGTCATGAATGTTCTTTTTCCGTGCCTGGGCCAGTGTTTTTGTACATAATACATATGCTTGGCACGAGCAATACACGTAACTGGGCGGGCTATTGCAGTCTGAATCTTATGGGGTTATAACAAATGGTAAATTCAACCCTTGTGTACGTCAGTTATTGTAGTCTAAACCACGACGTGCACTGTGTGGCTTCGCTGTGAATTATTTAAAGGTTTTCGCGATCTTGTTCTTTCCCCCACAAGTTTGTGGCGGCTTCGAGTGGTTGGTCTTCTTATTGTTACCAACTTATTAGTAACCTCGATTACCAGCGGTGCCGCCCGAGTCACCTTGTTTTCCCGGGCGGCCCGGCCGTGCAAGGACGAAGGAAGGTCCTGGCAAAAAAAAAAAAAAAAAAAAAAAAAAAAGGAAACATGAAAAAAAGCTGTGTTATGCAGAAAATTAAACTGAACAACTTTTGCCTCAGAGTCAAATCGGAGTTATTGAACATTTACTATTTACTAAATTTGAAAAAAAGTGGAGTTTTCTTTTGTTTGTTTGTTTTTGTTTTTTTTGTTTTGGCGCGGCCGGGCAATTGGCTCCGGGTGATTCTGGTAGCCTAGGTCACTACTGAGATTAGTGGTTGTAACAACTGTCCTTCCTGACATCCGTTAAACTTGGAATGATACACAGGCAAAAAAAAAAAAAAAAAAAAAAAAAAACATGGCCCCTGTGCAAGGATTGACACACATGAATCGGAAAAATCATTTTAAAATGGTTCAAAATTCAAATTCAATGACAAAAAAAGAAAAATTTGTAACAGCTCCTATTGGGTATATGTTGGAATGAGCTTATGGGGTGGGATGCGTCTGTATGCAGGCGCCCCTGCACTTTTTTCTTTTTTCTGAGAAATTTTGACTACTGTTTTCAGTGTTTTGATGGAGGACCCCAGATAATACACACACACACACACACACACGGGCGCGTGCTCGTGGCAGTGTATATTTCCATGTTCCAGCGGTAGATTCATTCAATTTGCTCATCCCATCGACGGAAGTACCATGAGGTCAGCTGCGAGGTTGGAGATTTACCTATTCTCTCTCTCTCTCTCTCTCTCTCTCTCTCTCTCCACAGGATGAGCAAAATGGGAATGAATCTGTAGAACATGAAAATATACACTGCCACATTTTCTGTCTTTGGCAGTGTATACTTCCATGGTGTGGCAGTGGATACTCCCATGTTCTACACACACACGCAAAAAAAAAGACACTCTAGCATTCACCCGGGGGATTAATGGGGAAAAAAAAAAAAAAAAAAAAAAAAAAAAAACATCGGGGGTGGAACATGGGAAAGATGACAAGTGGCCCGAAGATTAACAATCCCACTCGCCATCTCTTCCTCCCTCACTCTTCCCATTCTTTTGCGATGAGTCGGCGAAACTCCAACAAAACAGTTTGGCACAGACACTCGTTTGCCGTCCTTTTCTCCCTCTCTGCCTACAGTTTACAGGGCAGCTCTGTTTGATTTTCGTCACAGGTATCTTGAGGGCAATGGTTGGTGCCCACCTCAGGGTATCGCTTGTTGGGCAGTAGTTGATGCTCAACCACAACTGGGGTTAAGGTGGATTATCACTTATAGTTAGATACAGGATTCTGCAGACTGTTGAGGGTTCAGCCTCCGGATGAGTCGGCCGGTGAAACTCTGTCAAAACAGTTCGTCACAGCCCCTTGTTCTCTTCTCCCTCTCTGCCTCCGTTAACCGGGCAGCTCTCCGGTTTACCAGGCAGCTCTGTTTGACGATCGTCTTTAGAGTTTTCCATCTGGTGTGGATGAGTGATAGTCTGCTTTGATTTTTGCTACAGGTACCTCTTCACAGTATCAGTTGTCGGAAGTCGTTGATGCTGTCGGAAGTCGTTGATGCTTAGCCACAACCGCGGTTAAGGTGGATTATCACTTAGTGTAATCAGCTAGGTAGGGTATTCTGCAGACTGTTGAGGGTTCGGCCTCCTCCTGATGCGTCAGTCGGTGAAACTCCGACGTAACAGTCTGTCCCAGACTCTCATTTGTTGTCCTCTTCTCCCTCCTCTCTGCCTCTGGTTTACCCGTAGGTCTGTTTGACGATATACATATACACACTCAAAAAAATATCACTCAGCCAAAACAATGATCTGCCCTATTGCTCCCCATTGTTTTGGCGAACAGACCTACCATCAGGTAGTGTATGAAATGCCCTATTGATACCAGACCGTGCCATACCAGACTGTTTTGTCGGGCTTTCACCGACCCCCACCAAATCGTGCAAGATGTCGTACATCACTCGGCTGTCCAACTTGAGTAATGAATAACCTCATGCATGATGGATGACTCTAATCAGCCAGTCGCCCGATATTATTATTCAGTTAAGACTCTTGTGAGTCTCTTTGAGTGTGTCCAACCACTCTGGCCAGACCTTCTACTCGAGCGAACCTCTACGAAGAAGTGTGGCTCGAAAGACCGAGCTGGTCTGGATTTCAGAACCTTGTCACCAGCCAATGCGTGGTGGTGACAATAGTGAATAATACTGAATATGGTGAAGGCATACTCTTACCCCATCAGTAATGGTGGACGGTCGAGGTTCCAAGGGAAAGCAGTAAACTCATTGGCTGACACTAATCTCTCACCTTATTACTTTACTATATGCGGAAAAGTACTGACCTACTTATGGAATGATTTTCATTGTATCAGGAGATAACGACTGTCAGGATGCATGTGATTGATGGATAATGACTCACCACATCGCCCAAAATAGCATTACTTGGTAGAATAGGCTCTTTTATCATTAATTTCAAACCATCTGCTAAAGGTCGTAATAAGTTGCTAATAACCCAAACAATCATATACCACATTCGGACCTTTTCTACGCTGCATAGAAGCCATTACTTTACGTTCAGCTAGTACTAAAAAAGCAACTCCTAGTAAAAGTGGTATTATTATTCCAAGTATTTTGGCTATTAGTGATACCCTTAACAAAAGTGGTCGACGCCAACCCCGCAACCCTGCGTAGCAGACTGTCTGTCGGTCAAAACCCCTGATAAAAACAGCAGTAAGTATGCATTTTTTGTGCACTTCCGGACGTTGACAATTGTCAAATGCTCTCTCTCTCTCTCTCTCCGTTGACAATTGTCAAATGCTCTCTCTCTCTCTCTCTCTCCGTTGACAATTGTCAAATGCTCTCTCTCTCTCTCTCTCTCTCACACACCTTTTTCCCTTTATTCCTTCTCCATTGCCTCCCTTCTCCCTGTCCGTTTCATCTTTGTAACTTGCGCCCTCCACCCGCCCTCCCGATCTCCCCATCACCAATCCACTTTCCGTATCCTCTTCTCTCCTTGCCTTGTGTCTATCACCCGTCTTCTCACATCTTTCTCCACACCTTTCTATCCTCCGTTGGGAGGATCCCCTTCGGGCTCCTGCTCTCCAATACTCATGTGGCCGCTACGGATCTGGTATATCATTTCCTCTCTTCCTTTGTCCCTCTTTCTCTCTTCAGTACTCTCTCCATCACCTCCATATCCACATTTATTCTATGATTCCTTGTGATTCACACCCTCCGCCATTACCCTCCTCTCTCCTTCCCTTACAACCTATTCCCCTCCTTCCGCGCTGAGTCTCTTTTCCTGCCTTCCAAACTCTTCGACCCCACGTTGTCCGGCTGCACCTACACGACCTGCATTCCTTACTATCCTCCATCCCGAAGCCTGATCCGCCCCTTGACCTCGTCCTCCTCCATTTTGCTTCAGGACCCTCCTCGACGTCTTCCTCCACAACCTCCTTAATGCTGGCAAACTTATATCTTGTATGCTTCACCCTGTCGATGACTCTCCATCAACTTCCTCTGTCATCGCATCCGAGCAAATCCGAATTCTCTCAGCGGTGGTGCACAACTCCTGTCCCACTTGCAACATGGCACCCATACAAAAACTGGAGTCGCAGCCCTAAACATGGATGGAGGGAGGATGGAAGGAAGGATGTAGGAGGGAACACTTCGCAAGCGCCGGGCAAACCCACCTATTGTTTTTTATTTTCCTATTTTTTTCTGTGCCGAGTGTGAAAGGAACTCTCCACCCCTTCACACACAACTAAGGAGGTCGGGAGGGAGTGAAGAGAGAGAGAGAGAGAGAGAGAGAGAGACAGAGAGAGACCCGGGCATGGAGGGGTAGTTTGTGCTAGCGATCGATATCCCCTCACTTGTCCTTTTCCATCAAATTCACATAAGCCAAAAATGTCCAGAGTGCAGAATTGATTGCACAGGCTCTTTCTTCTTGTTAGAGCCTTACCGCCCCTCAAGTATGGAAGGCCAACGGTGCAAGAACGCTCTGTTGTTTGATTGAGTGAATTCTCGCATAAAGTCTCTGAGGATTCCAAACAGCTCGGCGGTCGCTGGCTAGGGCGAGTGGCCGCACTTTTTTGTGGTTTCCTGCTGATAACGTACTTGTCCCAATGTATGGCATTCGCTTAGAAATGTTAGAAATCTAAGTGAACAGGGACTTCGGGCTAGGGTGGCCCGAAGCTTTAGACTATACCTTTATCTCACCTCGTAGGCCGAAGGCGGCGTCATGCGTCTACGCTTTCCATCTTCATATGCTAGATCCAATACGACTAGGAGTCAGTCGAGCCGCTCGCCTTAGGAACTAACTAGATCCTCAATTGAAATGAAATTGGGTAAGTACTGGCATATGAGCATGAAATCAATCATGCTCTCCTCTTTCGAGTCAATCGTTACGGGGTCTATGAAGGCGCTCGCGTTCATTGAATTGCTTTCTTTTCTACATACAATCCACCGACTTCCCACGGTATTGGCATGGTTCTTTGTTTGTATAAATAAGAACTAACGGTTCCACCGTTATGAGCCAGTTTTTCTATAAGCGCTCACGCGCCTATGGGGCAAAAGGCATGAAGCGTAAAATACGCTGAAGAATCAATACTCGGACGATTGATTCTTACTCTTTCTTTATTTACCCCTAGCCACAAGTCATCCCCGTATTTTGCCACATACGTGGGTTCGGTCCTCYAAGGCCCGTTAGGACTCTCTTCAACCTGCTCATGGCTAGATCACCCGGTTTCGGGTCAAATTGATACAATGTGTCTGACACTGTCTTTCCTGCACACATCATTCATACGGCTCGTACCTAAGTTCTTACAGGTGACTGTAGTGAATATGGTGAAGGCATAGTCTTACCCCATCAGTAATGGTGGAAGGTCGAGGTTCAAAGGGTTCGGTTGTTCGCCGATGAAAGTGGTAAACTCATTGCCGTGTCCGACGAGTAATCTCTGACCTTACTACTTCACTATATGTGGGAAAGTCCTAACCTATTTATTGAATGAATTTCAATATACAACGGATAATCCGCAGGAAACCAACATATGTCTGTGTAGGATCCTCAGAGACTATACGTGAAGCGTCCGAACAAAAAACAGAGTCAATTCACATTCTGTACTATGATATCAATCAACACTGCACGTTTCTCTGAATCCTCGTATCGTACTTCCACATATCCACTTAAGGGAAAGTCTTTTCGTAACGGATAACCCTCAAAACCATAATCTGTTAATATACGACGTAAATCAAGAATAGTGGCTAATATAGCATGATGAGCCCAAGTTACAGCAGCTCCAGATGAAAGTAGAATAAGAGTATTTAGAAAGGGGATTCCCCAAGGATCTAACACATCACTACCTTTTGGGGGCCAAATAGCTCCGATTTCTACGGTAGGCGCCAGACTTGAATGAAAGAAAGCCCAAAAAAAAGCTACAAAAAACATTACTTCTGACACAATGAACAAAATCATACCATGACGAAGACCCACTTGAACCACTGATGTATGATATCCTTCATAGGTGGATTCACGTATTACATCACGCCACCATACAAACATGGTACAAAATCATTCCTAAACCTAACCCCAAGGAAACTCCAAATACTTGCAACCGAGCATCGCCCAGACAGACTTTGGGTGAGGCGGGGGCGCCAAGCTACGCGTGCTCGTCTATCTTGTTTTCGGGCCGAGAGTGAATGGAACTCACCACATCTTCAGGCACAAGACCGCAAGCACCGAGAGCGGGAGAGAGAGGGAGAGGCTGCACTGCCCTGCGACCGATTGCACGCAGCTCGACTCTGCTCTGCCTGATGATTCCTTTTTGGGGAGTCGACCAGCACGAATGTAACTGAAATATGCCTAGCTCAGTTGTCATACCCATGAATTGTTGAAATACAGTCCTCAGTTACAATCCTTCCTGAACTATCTGGGGCCCGCCATCTAAAAAAGCCATCTATCAAAGCTATCTATCTAGGTCACGCTCCACTTCTCACCGTGCAAGACAAGAATGCATTTTCGATTAGAACATCGAAAGATAAGAGCACCGTATTTTTTGTCTTTCTGCATGTGATGAGTAGCGGTTTTGGAGAAAGGCGTATATCTGCCTTTTTAAGATTTGGCGAGTGGCACAGCAGGCCCATCACCGTAGAACCCATTGGTGTGCTTTTCGCTTTTTTTTGGGAAAATTTGTGTTGCACACTGCATTACCCCCTCTGACGGCCAGCTTACAACGACTATTTCGTCAAAATGGACACTTTTTATTTTTTGAACGAAATTGAAACCGAGTTTCTTGGCCGAACACTCGTCAAAATTTGCTATTCCTGAGGGACCCCCTGGCTGTACATGGACCTAGCTTGAGACCAGCCACCTCCAGGCAGTACCTGGTCTCAAGTTAGGTCCATGTACAGCCAGGGGGTCCAGCGTTTTACAAACGCCAGACCCTCAGGAACAGCAAATTTTGACGAGTTTTCAGCCAAAAAACTCGGTTTCAATTTCGTTCAAAAAATAAAAGATGTCCATTTTGACGAAACGGCAGTTTTACCCTGTTTGCCCCCGGGGCCAAAAAACTTCAGCAGGCCCATGGCAGTAGGGGCGCAACTTTCCGGGACACCCTACATTCCATCATGCCCTCCACAATATGCGCTCAGGAGTCAATATGCACTCACGAGGAGCAGGCATCGTTTTGCACTACATCCCAATATTGCCACATGTCTCATCTCGCATGTCATCCGCTCCATCCTCTTCACAGTGCTTGGTGGTTTGTCCTCTTTTGTGTGTGTGTGTGTGTGTGTGTGTGTGTGTGTGTGTGAGAGAGAGAGAGAGAGAGGTGGGATGAGGGAGGAGGGCTTAAGTCATAGGTTACAAAGAAGACATTTCAACAAAGGGAGGACGGGGGGGGAGATGAGAAAGTGGAGCAGGCGAGGGGAGGGGGCATGTCCTCTCCAATGGCGGCAAACTGATCTACCACCTCCAATCAGCAAGTTGCTTTTTCAAATTCTTGGCTATAAAGGCTTCTTCATCTTTCAATTGCTTTTCAAGAGACTCGGCTTTGAATCTTAAACTTAGCAGGTGGCAACCAATGCTCAAACTCGAAATTTGTAAACATAATAATAAATTAAATAAATATAGATCCAACACCCTGTCCATTGGGACATCCGTTAAAAGGATTGGAACGATACAGAGAAGAAGGGTAATTACCATGGCTACGCCGGACCCGGACCCGRACATTTCCGGACGTGGAACCGGACCCGTGTCCGGTAGTTTCCAGGCGTCCGGAATTCCGGACATTTCCGAACCTCCGGACATGGGGGATCCGGACGGTCCGGATGTCTGGACAGGTCCGGAAATATCCGGACCATTTAAAAAAAAAAAAAAAAAATCTGAAAAAAAAGTATGTTATGCAGAATAACAATGCAAACCACTTTTGCCTCAGAGACATGTCAGAATTCCTAACCAAACTTGAGTTAAAAGTCAAAAACTACAAAAAGCTTAAAAAAAGACTTAAGTTTAAAAAACTAATAAAAGGTAATGAATTATTCATAATCAAAAACTTGGGCTTGTCTAATAAATTATTATAGAGATAGAGCATGTCCGGACCCCCCAAAAAAGCATAAACGGGCCTGACAAACCCTCAAAACAATTTTGGGGGCTTTGCTCCTCAATGGGGAAGGGTCCTGGACCGTTTTTTTTTTGCTTTTTTTTTTCCTCGAAATTTGGCAGATCCGCCGGACGTCCGGATTCCGGACCAAATCCGGACCGTCTGGACGGCGGTCCGGACGTCCGTACCGTAGCCATGGTAATTACTAATCAGCATGGCCCCTGCACAAGGGCAACACATATAAATCGTGAAATGGTCCCGAAAAAAAAAAAAATCCGAACCGTCTGGACGGCGGTCCGGACGTCCGTACCGTAGCCATGGTAATTACTAATCAGCATGGCCCCTGCACAAGGGCAACACATATAAATCGTGAAATGGTCCCGAAAAAAAAAAAAATCCGAACCGTCTGGACGGCGGTCCGGACGTCCGTACCGTAGCCATGGTAATTACTAATCAGCATGGCCCCTGCACAAGGGCGACACATATAAATCGTGAAATGGTCCCAAAAACAAAAAAACAAAAAAAAACAAAAAAAGGCCAACAGCAACACCATAAAATTGCAGAGAAACTCCAGACCCTCGAAAAGTTTCGAGCATCATTTCAATGTTGAAACAATGGACAGTAAAGCTAACCAAGACTTAGTGCTGCACGAAGCACTATACATCGTCCAAAGACAAAAAAAAACGCGCCTTGCCTCAGCGGTTCCTACAGTAGTGTTCTGTTTACTCCAATAATGGGCAGGGTAGGACAAAGCCGGTCCATTCTCAAGACCCGCCGCCGGACTAAACAGACCATAACCCCATCATGATATTGAGCGAGACACCATCTCTCCCAACCAAGAGATGGATTTGCTGCTCAAGACACTCATCGCAGAAAACCACCTCCTTGCTCCCAATCCTGATCCTGCTGGTCCAAATTCAGAAGAACATATGTTCCTTGCCTATATGCTGGACGAGCCTAGGGTGAACAAACCCACCGACTGCCACCCCGTAACCCGGAGTCCATCGAAACCTATCATTAAACCACCAGTACTTGGCCCAGCTATCGGCCGCGGAAAAAAAATGAGTAGAAACGTTTCTAGTTGGATGAATTTGGCCGCTCCTGTAGTGGCCCATACGTTTCCTAAACTCGTGTCTCGTTAACGGGCACGACTCTAGGAAGTACTGCAGTGGTTTATGTTCATCAACTTAACTTGGCCCATTATCAAACACTGCTCCGTCAACAAGACCCCCTGTCCACTACCAAAACCTGGTTCACCAACTAGAGCTTGTCCACCAATTCATAACCTGGTCCACTACCAAAACCTGGTTCACCAACTAGACCTGGTTTTCGTCAATTCATAACCTGGTCCACTACACCAACTAGACCTGGTTTTCGTCAGCTAAGCCAGGTCTGTCATCTAAACCTGGTTCATCAACTAAAGCCAGTCCGCCATCTACACCTGGTTCATTATCTAAACCTGGGCCAGGGACCCTTGAACAGATCCTGCTGGGACTCTATTTCTCCACCTGAACAGAGACTTGTCAAGAGTGTTGACGACGACCCATGCTCTCTCTCTCTCTCTCTCTCTCTCTCTCTCTCTCTCTCACACACACACACACACACACACACACACAAAACCCACCCTAACAAGAAGGCCGGGGAAGAGGAAGACCAATCGGTGCGAACTGTGGTGCACCGACCCTCCTCCGCATGATTCTGTGGACGCTGGGCGATGTACAATGATTCAACACACAAGCTAAGCAACTCGAAAATGATTTCAGTGAGACTTCTTACCTCACACCAATAGATCTTTCATAACAGGGCAAACACGATCATCTCCACCCTCTCTATCCCCCTTGTGAAGGTCGGCAAAGTTCTCTGCAGCGCATACTCACACTTGACTCTCTTGAACTTACCTGAACACAATTGCAGCCAGATGCTGTAGAAAAAATACAAGCCCGAGTATGTACTTGGACGACATACTCCTCTACAGATCCATCCTTTTATGAGCAGACATTGCCGGGGGGAAATGATAAACGAAAACCAAGGCAATACCCTACATCCACGGAGAAGACAGACATTATTGCTTTACAGAAGGAGACGTGGAGGCAGAGACCGCCAACCGCGCCCTCCTCGCCTTTTCTGCCAGCTCTTGGTAGTCTTCATGGGACAATGGCTTCCCTGTGCACAGGGACCACAGGAACACAAGCACATTTCACATAGCAGCTCATTTAGTAATTAAAAAAAATATATATATATACAGAGTTGCCAGGCCGAACGTACGGAGGCCCATAAGCTGACCCCCGAACGTTCGGGCGTTAGGGTCCCCATACGGGGCCCGAACTCGAAGGGGTTCAGACCCCGCAAAATATTATTTCGGTACCTAAAAATTATTATTTTTTTCTGTTTTTTTTTTTTTTGAGTTCTCTGTTATGTAAGCTACCTGTCTCTCAATTTTGAAGTCATTCTGTGGAGCCAAAAAATAATGAAAAATCGGCAAAGATGGTGGTGTCAAAACATGCTTTCCCACTTACTAATTTGTTTTTTTTCTCTTTTCACTTTTTGTTTTCCCTTTATTTCGGGGCCTGAAAAAAAATATTATTTTTTCAAACTTTATTTGTAGGTTCTCTATGATGTAAGATACAGATGTATAAAATTTCATGGCATTTGACAAAGCCAAAAAAAAATGAAAAATCGGCAAAGATGGCGGTGTCAAAAATTTGCTCGCCCACGCAATAATTTCATTCTCGTTTCATTTTTTCTTATTTTCCTTAATATTATTTATTTTTTGTATTTGATTTTTATTTCAAATTTGGTAAGAAATTTGGATGTACTGTCGAGGCAAATGTTGTTTAGTTTATTCTTCTGCATGACATAGTTTTTTTTCAGAATTTTTGGACACTTTTTTTTTTTTTTTTTTTTGGTTCCGTGTTCGGCCGAACGTCCGAACTCGTCGAGAGGGGTTCCCAAACGTTCGGGCGTTCGGGTTCGGGTGTTCGGCCCATCCCGAACGCCGGCAACCCTGTATATATATATCGTCACAAACAGAACTGCCCCGGTAAACCGTAGGCAGAGAGAGAGAAGAGGACAACAAACGAGGGGTTGTATATCGTCACAAACAGAACTGCCCGGTAAACCGTAGGCAGAGAGAGAGAAGAGGACAACAAACGAGGGGCTGTGACAAACTGTTTCGTCGGAGTTTCACCGACTCATCAGGAGGCTGAACCCTCAACAGTCTGCAGAATCCCCTCACTGATTACACTGTAAATGATAATCTACCTTAACCAAAATCAAAGTAGACTATCACTCACCCACACCAAATGGAAAACTCTACAGACTGTCGATTCACACCCCATCACAAGCCAGCAAAACATCCATGAAACAAAGAAAGGTTGTCACAGCCAAAAAATACACTCCAGACACATATATATTGTCACATGATATCAGAGCGCCAAAGCGAAAAAACAGAAAGAAGCCAAGGAAAACAAAAAAACTTATTCGTTTTTAATCTTCTTCCTTACAACTCCCCCTGTTCAGAACCTCTTGCGTACAAGGCCGCCCAAGTGGATGTAGGTTCAGCGGCGGCTGCCCCCACCCCCGTGTGTCATATCGACCCACTTGCACACAACTATATATATGTTTTTATTTATTTATTTATTTATTTATTTATAAAAAATCTCCATCTATTGGTGGGGAACATCAACTGCTGGAATCCAGGTCCTGCTTCCCTTTGAACAGTTGACACATTTGCTGACAGATTCAGAGAATGTTGAGAAACTCTGAGACTGCGCCGGACTGCAAGATCTGCCTCTTTTTTATATTTTCTTTTTTAGAAAAAAGAAAAGAAAAAATGTTCACCCAACTGAAGGGCACCGAAAGAAAAAAAAAAAAAAATGTAGCAGAAAACCAAAATGAAAATGGTCAAGCAGCCTCAAGCTATCTATTAAAAAAAAATACACAAAATAAAAAGGAAGGTCAACCTCAAGAAACTGACAAAAAAAATTAAAAAATTGTAATTTGTGTCTCCACCCTCGCTAGCGTCTTCACCCGAATAGAACACCCGGTCATTATTGCTGCATCTCGACTGAAAGTTGCCCCAAATACAGTTGCAATGACCAGGGGGGCATCCTTTCTGGGTGAAGACGGAAAGTGGACATCATGTACCTGGAGCTCGAAATGATCCCGACACATTCAAAGTTTGCACAGTCAGCTGTGCCGTCCAGATACAAGCAGATTTTCTGCAGTGGAGTGCGAGGCCCTATGTCAGTGTCGCCGCACCTCACTGTATCCGGAGCTGGAAGTGGTCCCAACACATTGAACATGGTTCCACAGTCCGACCGTACCTGGTCAGCTGTGTAGTCCAGATACAAGCAGAATGTTGTGCAGTGGCGCAAGGCCCTATATGTCTGTGCCACCACCTAACCCCTTCTTCTCGGTGGGGTATCGAACACTCTCCCACAAAATCCACTCTTCACATCTCCAATTGACCACTTCCCCTGAGATGGCTTGCCAATATCTACCCACCAAACCTACACTCCTTTCTAAGAATTGAACAGAAAGTACATGGCCCCAGCCTTGTGAAGAATCGCTCATCGTCTACTCTGAAAAAGTGGGAGCCGGCACATCGTTGATCAAGTATACATCAGCGGCCAGCATCGCGTTTCGACTTTCCGGCCGATGTATGGCATGTCCTGGTGGTTTAATCCACCAGTCTGTTTCCCAGCCAATTTACGGACACGCGAAGCGCATGCAGGCATGTCCAGCAAGACGTACCCAGGGGCATACCAGGGTGCCATTTCGCCCGAAATCCGTTCAGGTATGCGGGCAACTCGGACCTCTCATGCTAAGCAATTTGTGTAGACGGATTTCAGGCGAGACCGCGGGCACCTCCAAGGAACCCTGGTCTCTCATGCTACGCGATTTGACGAAGACGGATTTCAGGCGAAACAGGACCTCCAGGGAATTTGGGTCTCTCATGCTACGCAGTTGGCCTGGACGGATTTTTCAGGCGAAACGGCAACTCAGTACATACCATCCCATCCCATCGAGGCACCTGCATGTACTACATGTTTCCGCAGAATGGAGATGAAACCAGTGCTGGGCCGGCAACCGGCCGGTTGAGCTACCCCGGTCCAACCAGACCCGGACCAGCCCAGGGGGCGTGAACCGGGGAACCGGTTTTGAAAAAAAAGTGCCCAAATATCCTTTTTTTTTTTTTTTTTTTTTT